CCGTTAGTGGTTGTAGCTCGCTCTGCTGTGCTTTGCTGCTGTGATACTGAGCGTGGTGTTTCCGTATGTGTTCAGTTTTTATCAGATTAAAAATGTAGCTACTGTTCCTCCAGCTTTTCTGTGCCCACCCCCTCAGGTGCCGTTGTCCGTACACTGTGCTGCTGGGTGCCTGGGTGCCGCTCGTGCCTGGAGCTGTGATTTTACTCTCACCACTAGGCTTCCTTTCTTTTGATAGCCTTTTAATTGATGCTTAAAGACCATTTTCTGTTAATTCCGTCATCTCTGAGCTTTGGGAGCCTTTTCTGTTTATTCACTTTTCCTGGTTCTGATCAGTTTGGCTTCTTCCCAAGCTTGGTATAATACTCTTTTGCATCCCAGGCGTTAAAGAACTTTGTGTGGTTAGTTGCTCCGTTATAGGAAGTAACCAATAAGGGTTGATTCATACTCACTATTTGACAGCTTATGGCTTCTGTCTCCAGTTTATCCAACGTGGCAGGGTCATTAATTTTCTATAATGACAGCTCTTCTTTTGTGGGACTCATTGCCTAGGTCTTTAGTTCTCTGATGAACGTGTTTCTTGCAGAGTATTAAACAGCAAGTCATTTCTTTGTCCCTGAAGCACAGGTGGGTCCCCAGGGCAGGTGGAAGCTCTTGTTCTTGTATGTGAGGACTTTCTCATGCCTGCCTATGGGTCTCTGTGGGTCTCTATGGGTTCCAAAGTTGTCTGTGAGCTCAGACCCCAGGGGCCAGTTCTTTGGACTCCATTACGGGTTTTCAAGTCCGATGAAGTCAAGGTCCACAGAAACATTTGACTCAAGTGGGCTGAGGGCAGCAGAGTCCTCTTGGACCCTGGGGAATTTATTAAGCATGCACATCAAGTGCTGTGGTCGTTGACTGTGCTCATGACCAGTGTGGACCTGTTTATCTAGCCAGTGATCCTGTAGAGAAATGGCACGCTTTGATTATGTCACACACATACGTATTTTCTTTTTAAAAAAGATGTATACTTCTTGGGTCTAGGGAGATGGGCTCAGTCACAAAGTGCTTGCCATGCAATCATAACTTGAATTCAATCCCTAGGGCTCTCCTAGAAGCTGGGTGTGGTAGTGCTTGCCTGTAATCCTAGTGTTGTGTGGACAGAAACAGGAGGATCCCCGGGGCACTAGCTGAATCAGAGAGCTCCAGGTTCAGTGAGAGACCCTGCCTCAAAAAATAAGGTGAGAAGCAATTAGGGAAGACACCCAGCATCAACCTCTGCCTTCCACACTCATGTGCACGCATGACTGTATACTTTGTTAAAATCTCTGTTCTGCAGTGTAAGTTTTTAACAAGCTCATTTTTAGCTAAGAGTTAATAAAATTGTGGTCAGTATTTCAGAGCACGCTGAGCACCCAGGCCACAGCCAGCCACCTCTATTTTAAACTCTTGTCATTACTCCTAAATTGGCCTGGCTTCCTGGCTCCAAGTGGGACTCTGCTGCCTCTTCACACCTGTAGTGTGACTGGCACAGCCATCTAATTTTCAATGCAGAGGACAGCGGGGGGCATCGACACCTCCAGAGCAGGTGCCCATTGATCTTCCCAGAAGTAGCCAGGGAGGCAAGTCTTGCCAAAACTAACCTCCAGGAGGCCTCTGCAGCCTCTTTCTTCATCTTTATTCTTTTTGGTCAAAACAGAAAGGTTCCTCAGGGAGCCGGGGGCTGGGAGGGCTCTGCTGTGGCCTTTCTCTTTGTTGTGCACAAAGCCTACCACATTCTCTTTGAAACAGTGAGAGTCCTCATGGTAATTGGGTTTCAAATCCAGGCCCTTCCCTGTCTGCCTGACCCTTAGTAGATTCCCTCTTCTCCAGCAGGAATGGACCAAGGTGGCTGCACGCTAGGAGAAGTTACCTGCTATGCATAAAATGTGGGTTTGTAGGCTGGTGTCGGGATCTGAGCCAAGACCTAGTCTAAGCACCAAGGCCCCCTTCGATTACACCCACCCCAAAGCCTCTCCTGAGGATCAAGATTTGTGCTTAAAAGCATGGATGCTGGACTGGTGAAATGGCTCATCAGGTAAAAGTACTTGTTGCATAAGTCTGAAGCCCCAAGTTCGATTGTTGGAACCCACGGTGGAAGGAGAGAACGAACTCTTGCAAGTTGTACTTTGACCTCCACATGCATTCAGTGGTGTGTGCCTGTGCCCTCACACCTGTCTCTCTCTCTCTCTCTTTCTCTCTCTCTCTCTCTCTCTCTCTCTCTCTCTCTCTCTCTCTCTCTCTCTCTCTCTCTCTCTAATTAAAAATTAAAAAATGCCAAAACATGGGTGCCAACTGCCGTGTTTCCGATACTTTGCACTCGTTCCACTCACACCCAGTGGCCCTTTACTGATCCCTGAGGACCTCAGGCCCCTGTTCAGGAATATAGCTTCCTTTGCACTCATGTGTCAGTGCTTGTCACAATGTTTCACTGAGGTATTTAATCCAGTGAGAGAGAGAAAGCGGCTGACCAGGCTTGAGAGTACAAGCACCCTGCTCTCAGTGGGAAGACAACTGTGGGAACAGCCCTGTGTGAACCACTTCTGGTTGGGACACGCCAGGCGGTGGCTGGTACTTACACCTACTAAGTATTGCTTGCTTACCTGCAAAACAAGGACAGGAAGCATTTCTGAAGGGGCATCTGCATCAGCCCCACCACCAGAGCTCAGGGAACAGTGAGGAAGAGGGGATAGAGAGATTGTCAGAGCCAGAGGATGTGGAGGAGTGCTGTGGAGGGCTGGGCTTGGTACTCATGGACTCACAAGACACACACGGGATCAAGCCAGCTCCAATCCCGACATAGATGGATTAGATGATCTCCAGGCCCCGCCTCTTCCTGAGTCGCTGTTGGTGGTTGACAGCTGCTAGTGGGGAGGATCATTCCATTTTGGAGATGTGGACACTGGTAGGTGTCTCGTGCTCCAGCAGACGGCCCCATACCCTTGCACACATGGGCAGCACTGACTGGACTCAGTGGGCTATCAAAAAGAAAGCATGAAGTTGGAAGGGGCAGGTTGGGAAAGGTGGGGGGAGGTTGGGGAAGGTGGGTAGATGTGATCATATTTCATTGTACAAATTTATGAAATTATAAAAATAAAGAAAAAAGTTTAAATAAGAAGGGCTGGAGAGATGGCCCACTCAATTGAGTGCCTGCCGTGCAAGCCCAGGACATGATTGGGTCCCCAGAAGCTCTGGGAAGAAGCCAACCACCGTCATGTGCAGCCCAAACCCTAGGGTGTGCGGGGGTTGGGGAGCTGTGGGGTGGGGGTGGGGGAGACAGACAGATCCGTGGAGCTCACAAGCCAGCCAGTCTGGCCAATTGATGAGAGCTGGACCCAGAGCCATTCCCTGAAAAGATAAGGTGGAGAGTGATTCTGGAAGACACCTGACAGAAACTAGTAGTCTCCACATGTGTGCATGTGTGCACATACACTACACATGAATGTACCTGCCTCTGGCCCACTACGAGTTCCTAAAAGATAGAGCCATCACTGTGATCTGGATATGTGTGTATATGTGCTCATGGGTGTGTGTGTGTGTGTGTACACGTGCATGCATGCCTGTAGGAATCTGAGGTCAGCCTTGGGTGTTGCTCCTCAGTAGCCATCCATCTTGCTTTTTGAGACATTGTCTTTTACTGGCCTGGTACTTGACAGATAGACTAGGCTGGTTGTCAGTGAACCTGGAGATCTGCCTGTCTTTTCCTCCTTAGCACAGAGATTACAAATACACACCACCATGCTTGGCTTTTATGTGAGTTCCTGGGGCTTGAACTCAGGTCCTCATGCTTGGGCAGCAAGCACTCCACTGCCTCCCTGGCCCCGGTACTTTAATTTTTATGATACCCAGTGGCTCTTCTATTACTGCCCCACAGAGTGGTGTCTTAGAGATGAGTCTTTAGTACGTGTTTTATAGAGTGGATGAAAAGATTTTGCTAATTTGGTGGTTAAAACTTTCCTTAGAGAGATGCATGGCTTTAGAGTGAATTTGCTCATGTGTGGTTAAGGAACATCCAGTGCACACCAGCTGTCATGCTAGGCATGGAGCATCCAGCAGTGACTGAGCAGAGGCCTGCTGGTGGGAACCTGTTACAGGCAGCCTCACTGGGTTTGCAGAACTGTAGTGTTCCAGGTTCCCTAGGTGACCACCATTGGCACCTGCAGTGTGAGAGGAGGGTGGGCAGGAAAGAATGCTAGAGATGCTGTGGGCCTGAAGACTCACAGGAAAGAGAAGATGGGGAGTGATGTCTGTAGAAGACCTTGGGTGTGTGTGCTGTTTATGGGGTGCATAAACAGTGGGGACCAGTGGAGAGGGTTGGGGACAGGTCCCAAAGGTCTTCACATACAAGGGCTCCTATGTCCTACTATCCTGATGGGGCCAAGGGTGGGTTTACTTCAGGACGAGAGCTCAAAAAGCACAGAGAAGCTAAGTGACCCCCACTGTTCACACAACTGTGCAGTGATAGTTCTGGGATTCCTTCCTGGGTACATTTGACTCCAGGGCCCCTGAGCTACCTTACTGCACTAGGGAGGGGATGCCAGGATGACTGAGGGACCTATGGATGTGTGTGGGGATGGGCCTTTTCGGGTGTTGCTGGGTCAGGGTGCAGATGAGGTGGGACTCGGTGCCAGGAGTGCATGAAGTCCTGGAGATATTGGGGTCAACAAGGTTGGGGGTGAACTTGCCACCAAAGGCTTCCCAGCAGGGCCTTCCTGGTGCTGGCACAGAACTCCGTGCTCCTGGTAGGGGAGTGGTCCGTGGGTGTTGATGGGGGTCAGCTTTCTTTTGTGCCTCTTGTCCTTGCTGCCCTTCTTTTGGGGTCCCTTAGTTACTGGCTCTGTTGTGGATGGTTTCTAGGGGCTCTCACTGGAAAGTGCTCTGAAGGCAGACAGCCCATCACAGGCGCTGGCTCTGCCCAGTGTGAGCAGTCACTGTCGGTGACATGCACAGAGGATACAGTTTGAGTGTTTACTCTTCCCCTGCAGATGGGTTTGAGGACTGTGGCCCAGATTGCAACGACAGAATGACAGCTTTCTTGGACATCCCAGGCCAGGATAACCTGCCTCCTCTCACCCGCCTGGAAAAGTATGCATTCAGTGACAAGTGTCTTCCACCGGTAAGAAGGTGTCCTTGCATCGGCCAGGCTGCTCCGGCAGTTTGGTTACACAGGTGCGGGTGGATGCTTCTCTGACAGGCTCCAGGGCGCTCACCTGTGAGGTGGGCTGCAGCTGCCTCCAGGAGCCTCTATCTATCTGCAGGGCTCCATCTTTCTAGGCTTTCCCGTTTTCTGTGTTATTTCAGCGATACTGGGGATCATGAGTAGAGCCTCATGTGTGCTCCACAAAGCTCCCCTTACCCACCCGTTTTGTTCCTGGCCTGCTAAGCTAGGAAGGGAGTGGTGCCGAGGGGTTTCTGTCCTGTGTACTCGGCAGACTACAGCACACTACTGCCTGAGTTGTGTTCTTCGGTATTTGGCTGTGCTGTGTGGCAGGGGCTCCTGTGTCAGCCTGTCCTGCTGTGTCCCCTGTCACTCTTCCAGTCACACCCTCCTGTTTGCAACTGATGACCTCGATGTGGTTTCTGGGAGAAAGTGGGAAGTAAGCATGTCTTCCTGTAGAGTGTCCTTTTGCCCTGTCTTGGCCCCTTCACTTTTCCAGCCTCCCCTCCTTCAGGAAGCCTTTGTCCTGGTCCTTGCCTAGTACACTGGCTGTTTCCCTCATCTGCACATACCATCTCCTTTCTCCCTGAACCACGTCCTCCCCATCTTCCTTCGTCCCATCACTCCCCTTCAGAGGTCTGAGGCTTCTCGGAGTCTCTGTCTTCCCTTCCACTCATCTGTACTTTTTAGAATTAAGCTCAGTGCCAAACATGGGCAAGCCCTGTGCATCGTTAAAATGCAGACATGGGTGTGCCCAGTCCTCTGGGTTTTACAGACACCTGTCTTCATTCACATGTAGCACACAGTTTGCTCACATTCCTTAGGAAAGGGTTGGTGCCTTTCCTGTCCTAAGCAGTGTTTGCAGTGGGTGTGATGACTCATACCTGTAATCCCAGCCTTCGGGAGGCAGAGGCAGGAGAATTGCAAGGCTAAGGATAGTGTGGGCTGCTTAGTGAGAACCTTTCTCAAGACGCAAGCAAAGAGGAATGTTTGTCTCTCCTGGGGCCACAGCTTCTCCGTGGTCATCTCTGAAGCTGACTTTTCACATTGGGTCTCCAGTCCTCCCAGAATCCCTGCTTTTGTCTTCTCTGTGGCCTACTGCCATTTCCTGAAGTCACATGTCTTCAGGGACTCTGGGTTATCGCCACGGCACCGGCACCATTGCATGACCTACAGGTACCTTGATCATCCAAACCTTGACCCCGCCCACTCTACTCTTCAGGACTGTCTGGCTTTCCTTGGCCTTTGATGTCCAGACACACTCAGCAGCGTCTTGTCCCTTCGTGGGAAAAGGAGAACCAAAGCCACAGACTTGCTGGACCTTCATTGAAATTGCTTTTTATCCCACAAACCAGTCTGTGATGGATCTGTACCTTTGAGATATTCTTAAATAGTTTTCTTCACTTTCCCTGTGTGTGTTCACATCTGTGTGTTCAAGTTATGTGTGAACACACACAGAGATACACACATACATACATACATTCACACGTACTTACACATACACGTGTATACACACACACACACACACACACACAGACATACACACACACACTGTCCTAGTTAATTTCTATGGCTGTGATAAAACACTGACCAAACCAACTTGGGAAGGAAAGGTTTATTTCAGCTTACTGTACAGTCTTTAGGGGAAAGCCAGGGTAGGAACCCAGGTAGGGCAGGAGCCTGAGGAAGGAGCTGAAGCACACACCACAGAGGAATGCTGCTTGCTGGCTTGGTCCTCTGGTCCCTGCTCAGCCCATTTTCTTATATAGCCCAGGACAACCTGCCCAGGGTTTACACTGCCCACAGTGGACTGGGCCCTCCCACATCACTCAGCAATCAAGAAAATGGTTCACATGGCCACAGGCCAGTCCAGTAGAGGAAATTACCCTATTGAGGTTCCCTCTTCCCACGTGTCAAGTTGATATTTGAAATTATCTAGCACACACACACACACACACACACACACACACACAACTATGAAGATAAAGTATATCTTTTTCTGTTACAAAAACCTGGATCTTATCAGATTTAATGCTGGTTATCAGGGCTTTTGTTGTTGTTTGAGACAGTCTTGCTGTGTAGCTCTGGGAGGCCTTGAACTCAGGATTCTGCAGCTGCTGGTGGCCAGGGTCTGTCACAGGTGAGTGTCTCCTTGACACCTCCATTTCTTTTTAGTTGTTGCTGGTTGGTGTGTGCAAATGAAATGAAATTATTTTAAATTTTAGAATATTTTTGTTATTCCACAGAGAGGCAATATTTAACACATTTTCCCAGAAATAACTTGAAGCAGGTTACATAAATACACACACACACACACACACACACACACACACAAAATGCAGTTTAAGGGGGAGATGTTGGGATAAACAAAGACCAAAGGATTTGCCAGTATGGGGTCAACTTTGGTGGAATAATGAAGGTTTCCATTAGATCTGTTCTTTTTTCTTTCTTTTTTAAAAATCCTAACTAGTTTATTGGGCCTGTTAACAGAACATAGGGTACGGATTTATTTATAGAAGCTCCCCCCTCCCCCACCATTTATAGCTGTGCTGGAAAGTCCACACTCAAATATAGATCCAGTGACTTCCTGACAGCTTTACTGCATTGTGGTATGATAAAATGCAAGGAATTATTTCACTTTTTTTTTGTATTTGTTGAGGTTTGTTTTGTGCCCCAGTATGTGGCCAATTTTTGAGAAAGTTCTATGGGGTACTGAATAGAAAGTGTATTCTTTGGTGCTTGGGTAGAATATTGGGAAGATGTCTGTTAGGTCCATTTGATGTATGGTATCATTTAACTCAGATGTCTTTCTGTTTATTCTTTATCCTGTTGACCTGTCTAATGAAGACAGTGGGGTACTGAAGTCCCCTACTATTACTGAGTTGGGGTTAATCTGTGTCTTAAAGTCCTGTAGTGTTGTTTTTATGAATTTGGGTGCACCAGAGTTTGGTGTGTATATGTTCAGGATTGTAATGTGTTCTTGGTTAATTGTTCCTTTGATCAGAATGAAGTTACCCTCATTTCTTTGGATTAGTTTTACTTTCAGGTCTATTTTGTCAGATATTAGAATTGGCAATCCCTGCTTGTTTCTTAGTGCCGTTTACTTGGAATATTCTTTTCCATCCTTTTTACCTTAAGGTAGTGCCTGTCCTTGAAGGTGAGTTGGGTATTTTGCAGACAGCAAAGAGATGGATTTTGTTTCTTAATCCATTCAGCTGGCCTGTGTCTTTTGACTGGGGAGTCCAGTCCATTGATATTTAAAGTTGTTGGAAGATGTGCACTGGTTGCCATCACTTTGATTGCTGTTTGCATCTTTGTCCAGTTTTGTGTTTCCACACTCACACCTTCATTTAGTTTCTTTCTGCTGCCCCTGGGGTGCAGTTGTTCCTCTCCCCGTTCTTTGTGTTGCTTCAAGTATTCTTTGAAGGGCGGTTTTGTGGACATGAATTCCTTGAGGCTATTCATGCCGTGGAAGGTTTTTCTTTCTCCTTCACCCATAGTAGACATTTTTGCTGGGTATAGTATTCTGGGCTGGCATCCGTTGTCATGTAGAACTGGAAATACCTTTGTCAGGCTCTTCTGGGCTTTCATAGTTTGCATTGATAAGTCAGCTGTAATTCTGATGGGCTTTCCTTTGTATGGGACTTGTTGTTTTTCTTTTGCTGCTTTCAGTGTTCTCTCTTTGTTCTGTACATTTAGTGTTTTTACTGTGATATGCTGTGGGGAGTTTCTTTTCTGATTCTATTTGGTGTTCTATGTGCTTCTTATATTTGTATGGGGATGTCTGTCCTTAGTTTGGGGAAATTCTCTTCTACAGTCATGTTTAAGATCTGGTCAACACCATTGACCTGAAATTCTGTTTCTATGCCTATGATGCATAGATTTGGTCTTTTCATGGTGCCCCAAATCTCCTGCATATTGCGTTGCTGTGGGTTTTTTTTTTTTTTTTTTGAGACAGGGTCTCCCTGTAGCCCCAGCTGTCCTGGAACTCACTATGTAGACCAGGCTGGCCTTGAACTCACAGAGATCCGCTTGCCTCTGCCTCCCAAGTGCTTAGATTAAAGGCATGGGCCACCATACCCAGCCATTCCTGTGTTTTTAAAAATTATGCATAATCTTTACTTGAGCGGTCCAGTTCTTCAACTTTATCCTCCAGTGTTGATATTCTGATTTCCATTTCATTCATTTTATTGGTGAGGCTTTCCTCTGTTGTTTCAAGTTGGCTTAATGAGTTTTTCACTTCTTTCTTCATTTCAGCCTGAGTTTTCTTCAATGTGTCTCTTCTGTGAATTCAGTCAGAAGTTTATCCCTGTCTTCTTTTAGTTCATTGATTTGTTTGTGTGTCCTTTAAATTCATTGAATTCCTTGATCGTGCTTATGACTCTTTTAAATCTATGTCCTGGGTTATCTCTAGGGGGTTCTCCTTGTAGAACTCTTCTACAGGACTGGTGAGTTTGGTGGGGACATAGTGTTTTGGCTTTCCATTTTATTTTATTTTTTCGTTGTGGTTTTGGCATGTGGATTTCTTTTGTTGTTTTTGATTGTGGTATGAAAATCAAGCCTTCCGTTGTTGAGTTGAGGGCTGCTTCTGTTGAGTTACTGGTGAGCCTTCCCTGTTTTTCTTATTGGATAGAGATGGTTGGTCTAGGTTTCATGTTCTCTCAGATTTTATTTTGGGGGAACTGTTGGCTTCAGATAAGCTACTCAGGAGCTCCCACAGAGGCCCCAGTCAGGCACCAGTCAGTACTCAGGCTTCCTTCTAGTGTTTGGACCCTTTACTAGAGCACAGTAAGTGAAGTTCCCTAAGGGGAAGCTGGATCAGGTGCTCTCAGGTGCTCTGCTGAGTTTTCAGCCCCTACACCAGGTGGAGGCCAGATCAGGCACTCTCAGGCTGTCTGCTAAGGTTGCAGCCTTACCCTACCATAGGGCAGAGGTCTGTCCTGGGGCCATGGGAGGGG